CCAGCAAGAAATAAATGCTCTGAAAAGCAAGGGAGAGAAGTCGATATTGGAAAGCCAACAAGCGTGAAATTCGAAGGTAACTCTGGTGAAAGAACAGGAAGAGATAGTTCTTGCGATCACAAAAGGTGGTTGACAGAAAAGCTTATATTTATCAATAATGAGTTTTTCTACACAGGAAATATCCTAGCAGACTTTAAACCAGCACTGGCTTCATAATAACTTCTTAAGACCTTCCTCTAAACTAGCGTTAAAATATTTGTTTTTACTGACATAATTGGCTTCCGCATTGCATACGCTTAGCAGCGTGAGAAAATTGAATAGGTTTTTTCGCTTTGATAGCCTTTTCCTGGTAAATGCCGTTAAATGACCCATTATTGACTTGGCGCGATAATAGGTTTTATGATGAGGCGGGCATTATCTTATCTTTCAGTGCAAGCTGCAGAGGTGATAGTCAAGATAACGTTAACGATAGCTGGCTAGGCACCACACACAGAGCGGGCTATAAATTCGCCAGCTTCGCTATCGCTTGCCCCTTTTTTCTGCCAACGCCGATCGTGAGCTGTTTAGCTTTTCAATAGTGAACTTATTTCTTTCTGCGAAGGAAGAAGCCAACAAACAATCAGGCAAGTGCTGTTTTTCCCCCACCCCTGTTTGTTTTTTGTAGTCAGGTAGCTTTTCATTTTTTTTTTCCCTGTCTTGTTGGAGTGCCCTAGCTGAGGACTCTGTTTGTCTTTCCTTAGCACCCGCTAATTTTCCAAAATTTTCTTTAACCTCATGGCTAAACAGCGCATATTAATAATAGGGCACTCCTTCGTTCGTCGCCTTAAGGTGTTTGTGCAGAAAAAGAGGCACATGCAGGCTTTTAGCAGCCTTAGTGGTATGGCAGATATTTATTTTCATGGAGTTGGCGGCCGCACGATAGCCAAATTTCGTAAATTCGACTTTAATGTGGTGCGCCAACTGGTCCCAGATGTAATTATTTTGGAGCTCGGCTCCAACGATCTGGCGGAGCTCTCGCCGCAGACAGTGGGTTCAGAACTGGAAAGTTTAGTTCGGGAACTGTACGAGATTGACTCTGTTCAATTTGTTGTCGTGGGGCAGGTTCTCCGTAGGCATACACCGAACTCGGTCGAGTATAATTGTAAGGTAGGCAAGCTTCACCAATATCTTAAGGTTGTCCTAGAGCCGTTGCCTTTTTGTTATTACTGGCGGCATAGAGGTTTCTGGAAATCCAAAAGCGAACTCTACTTACCCGATGGAGTCCATCTTAACAATTTAGGCAACTATAAATTTATGCGCAGCATTCGAGGGGCGGTTTTGCAGGCCTTTAAGTTAGTGGGTGCGTCCACAGTTTAGTCAATGCTGTGCCCTGTAGTGGCCAGTTCGATATTTAAAGGGCGATGTTATAATACATTTATGAGATGCTGTGTCACAAGTACATTTACAACTTTGCAGGCTATATCATATGTCATCATGCATTTTAAATGCTTTCTTGTAGCATGTTTTGTACTTGACATTTATGGCTATTTTGGTGTGTTACTCTCCTGGCGGCTATTGTTTACTACATTAGTGTGCCCAACTCACTTGAGCCATTATAGGACAAATGTCCCTTTTACAATGTCTCGGATTATTTTTTGTCATTATGTTGCCTGCTCTTGATTTGCACTTGACATTCTTTGGCTTCCGTTTTTTACTTGGAGTCTCGTTGGAGCGTTTATAGCCCAACTCTCCTACGCCATTGTGGAATGTCTCGGATATCTTTTTTGTCTCTTAGACGCGTTTCCGTTTCAATTTACAATCGCCATGGGCTCAATGAAAGCCCACCAAAAACCAAGGAACACACCCACTAAGTTTGAGTATGGCACTGAAGAGCACGACATCAGCCAAAAGTCTACACGATAAGCAATTACCCGTACAAACGACGCAATGCTGCCGCAGCGCTGCAGCAGTTCACTTTTATGGTTGCACAGCGCTTAAGCGTCTGTAAAGCAGTGCTCGTGAGTTGCTAAAGCAGAGAACGTCACATTTCGTGCACTGCGAAAGCCCTGCACAATTTTGCCACGGTAAAGCAGCGGTAAAGCAGCGCTGCGGGCCGCTGCTTAAAAGCTACAATGAGACTTAGATACAAACATTGAAACCACTCCATATGACAACCTGAATACAAGCGATGCTTGAGGCTGCATTATCACTGCACAACGCTGCAGATACCAAATAAGGACTTAAAGATCTTCAAAATTAAAACCCTGGAGAGCAAACCCGTACGAAACTTGCAGCGCTGTACGGCGCCACAAAATCTCTTCAAAATAGCTGTACAGCTAAATTGCAGCTGTTTAGCAGCATTTTAGAAGCCAAACAACAGCTTAATTCAAGTTGCAGCAGGCTGCAAAAGCGCTGGTGCAGCCTTTGAAGCTCTCGGCAGCAGTTTTGCGGGGCAGTTGCCGACTTTCAAATGCTGCGAAATAGCTGCAGTAACGCTACAATTCAGCTGCACTCGATCTGATAGCACGACGTTCTTGAGCGCTCATAACATGAATCGCCAGAAGAGCCTTTTGCCACAGATTACAGCTTTCATAACGAGAAAACTTTGACTGTACCTCTACGAAATGTGAGTAAGCTTGTGAGCAGGGAATATCACTTATTGAATAAACCTCCAAATTCTATGCTTTTGGAATAAAGATTTCAATAAATTTTATTCCGTGACTGGCGAGTGTGGGAATGTTATCGCTAATTCCCTGGAGACATTCAAGGCTGTAATCTAATTGGACGGCACTTTTGCATCAGATCCCATTACATCTCTAGACAAACATTTGCGACCGTTGAATGAAAGGCGCAAACATTCACACATTGTAAGTTTTTAGCATCTAGTTCTGTTTCGAGGTGGAAGTTCTGTTGATGTTTTTGGATGGAACAGCTCAAAGGTATTTGTAAACAACGGCACTGTTCAGTGAATTCTACGCGAAGTACCGACGAATCGAACTAGAGCAAGCAACACAGGTACAAGAATCTCAGCTGGGGTACGCATGTATTTACAAGATTCAAACGTTCACGATGATGTACGTTCCTTAGTCCACTGTAAAATTTAACGACGACCAAAGTAAAATTGGGTTGATTTCTTTCATGAAAACAGTGACGGCAGATCGTGGATCATGGACAAAACGTCAAGGTGAGCGATGTCAGGCTTAACCTGTTGCAACGGATCCAAACATCATTTGGCTGCTGTCCGTGCAAACTTTATGTAGAACAATCGCTCTTATTCTCTCTATTCTAAAAAAAGATAAACTTCAATGTCGGCATGTTAATGGATGCTCTTACATTTAGATGAGTGACCGTGATTGCTGAATATTTACAAAGCGAGACTGTTGAAGATTTGTTATATGTCACCTGCTTTTGTAACGTGTACGCGTGGATACTAATAAAGTATCAGTTCCATTTTGTCTTTCTTGTGCTTTTTACTCCGCTACTATAAGGCCTTGTCAACTCCTTTACCATGTCTCATGATTATTGTACTGTTGAAGTCTGCATTTCTTTTTTTTGTACAACTGTTCTTTGCAGCGCTTCACTAACGCTGCACAGCGCTGCATAAAAGCTGTTTATCGACCGTATGGCCTCGTATGGCTATTTTTTTGCATCTTTACGGCAGCGCTCCTGCAGCTCTCAGTGTCGCTGCCGCAGCGTTAACGCAGTCACAAAAATGCACTGCTGCAGCGAACGCAAAGCAGCGTTCGTGCAACCTTTCTGCAGCGCTCGTTGCAGCGCTAATAAGTCGCTAAAGCAGCGCTGTTTTAACGTCTTCTGTATCGTATGGGTAATCAAACTTTAACTTGGAGTTTCGATTCGGAAGCTGCTCCATGAAAATACTGCATTTGTGTTGTATTACTGTTCGTGGTATTATATTGCTATAGTTTTTCAATTGTTCGTTTCAAAACCTATTTCTTACCAATGTAAAAGGTATTCTTATTCATATGTTCATACTGTTTCTACTATTATGGTGATTTTTACGAGCGTGTTTTAAACACCACATTTGCTTAAGCAGATCGAAACCTACATACATTAAAGACTATGTCAATTCTATGTAATTTCTGTTTGAAGTCTAATTAAAGGCTGTGTATGTGATCTGTTTTACCTACTCAAATACTATTAAAATCCTATTTCAAACCTATGCAAAGACTATTTGTTTTGTGTTTTCCCTATTTTAATGCTATGCAAAGTATATGTCACCTTCAAAAAAGGCTATGCTTATCATATGTTTTTACTATTTCTAGGCTATCTAAATTCTAAGCAAACCCTATTCAAAAGCTATTTAATCAACATTACTGTTCCCTGTTCCATTTTACTATGTATACTCTATTTCAGTCCTATGTGAAGGCTATTTATTTTCTATGATTTTTGTACAAGGTTGACTATGAAGTCTAAAATCTCTTTCCAAAAGCTAAGTAAATTATATGTATAGGCTATGTGGAAACTATGTCATTTCTTCCTTTTTTCCTACCTTTAAAAACTGCATAGGTTTTAAGTAGGTTCCGTTTGACTGGTGAAAACATAGCATTTTCGATACAAAAAAATAGTCCTGGCATAGAAACAACATAGGACCTGGTTTAAAGCAATATATGACTGATTGACATAGGTTTTACATAGCTTTGTGACATAGCATTTGCATAGATTCTACATGATGTCTGATTCTACAAGGGAATATTATCGATCGATAAATTTAGTAGTTTGACAACAGCTAAGGGGCAGGAGCTACAATGTCCTCTGTTCCTGGCTTACAAAATTGTCCTATCTCACGGTAGAGCTAAAGTGTTTGTTCTTGAGACAGTTCGCTTGAATTTATAACTGGAGGAGTAGCTGTAGAGGGTGGAAGGAGTTTCCAACAACATGAAAGAATGTTCAGGGCTGTTCACAAATTATTTATAATAAACCATTACAGGGTTTTCCTAAGAAAACCGGAAATGATGACACTTCTTAATGTTCGGGTACGTTCTAAAATACTGGCCAAGGAATGACTCCCAGTCATGTACAGTAACAATGATTCGACCATCATGGGTTCCAACCAGCTGTACTTTGTTTAAGCCACTGTTACTAGAGGTCTCAACCAATCTAGCAAATTCATACAATGAAGAGACATGAGTCACCTTATATACTTTCTTAATCAAGCCAAAGGATTGATCAGGACCAAACTTTGTGTGTCCTGCTACTAGAAAAGAGTATGTAATTGAGCGGTGAAGTTTCAGCAAAATTCTGTATGTCAGGTACCAAAGGAAAAAACTGTTTTCGTTTTGGCCGGTGCAATTGTACGCATAAAGATGTGCATGATGTTCTCCCAGTCCATGGTTATTCAATCATTGCTTGGTACATGTATCTGTTGTGCAAAATCAAATGAGTAATGTATTGATGCATTTAAAGAACAGGCCCCTCGGGTTTCACAGATCAGCAGAGTATTAGTGTCAATTGTTTGAAGAAATCTCTCGCATTCCTTACCAGGGTTCCTGTAACATTCTCTCTTGCTTTGTGCAATGTCCAAATGTTCCTGGTGAGCATTTACACAATCTGATTTTTCTTCATCTGAGAGGTTAGCAGCTCGCTGCAGTTTCGTCGTGTTTTGCTGACACGTTAAACAAAGATCCATCATGGGTTTAGAGATGACCACGTCAGCATAAAATTCGTCCCACAGCTGTAACAATTTCTTGTAAAACACCACAAGTTTTCTTGTGCTCCCTCCAAACGCTCATCTTTGTTTCCAACGAAGACAAGAGTCTAATCTCTTCACTTTTAAATCCCGGGAACCTTCCAGGAAGCACGATCGCATTTTCTTCAACATAATTGTCAATAAATGCATGAACAGCCTAAAGCGATTTTTTTGGAAGTTGCGTTTTTAGGCAATCGTTTGGTGTTTCCATGAGTTCTTGGATAAATCCTGCGTTCCTGATAATGTTCTCTTAGTCTTCGAAATCTGGAATAGCCAATTCCGTAAAGATGTAAGAACATCTCCTTGCAGATTGAAATTGTTTGATAAGTGAAGCTGCATCAAGGACTTCTATTCTTTTTGTCGCTGATTTTTTCAGTTTTTGTGAAGACGTGAATATTGGAGAGGACGACAAGGTCAAGTTCGCTGCTCGAAAGCTCAACGCAGTTATATAAGTTGTAGAGAACAGTCTCCGCTGAAAACTATCCTGAACAAGGGTGACCTTTTAAATCATTGCTGCAAGTTTCTCGCATAAATTTGTTATCCTTTTGTACAATCTCGTTGGAGTCATTGATATAGAGCTAACCCATCTTTACGTATCTTTGGATTTGTGCGTTGTAAGTAAAGCCGTGACTATCCGGCTTTTCCCTTGCTGCGTCTTGTTGCAGGATAACAATTGATTGCTGACACAATCGTTGCTACGACAAAAAGATACAGTACTGCAGGCACAAGGATAGTTCTTACCAGTCAGTAGGAAGTTATTGTCTGAAAATATCGAATGTTTGTTAGTGTTCAGATCGTCATTTTATCCTTTTACATTCACGTCGAACGGATAGGAACATGTCCAGGATGAGAGGCTAAATCGTTCGAAGGGATGCTACAACCTTTGGAATGGACATGTTCAGTTTGCGAACAAATACAAAAATCCTTCGAATGGATGTCTTAACCATTCGCACGGATGTTGGAATCCTTTGAACGGATACCAAATTTTTTGAATGGACAGGCAAAGCGTTCAAACAGATGCTAATTTTTTTTAATGGATAGCCGAACCGTTCGAACGGATGCTAATTTTTTTGGAATGGATAGGCAAACCATTCAGACAAATGCTAATTTTTTCAAACGGTTTTTTAAAAGCGTGCGAAAGAACAACGAATGGATAACAAACGCTTACCCTCTTGAAACGGATAACCGTTAGCGTCCATTTCGCCTTTCACTGTCACAAATGCATTAGGATAAAGCACTTTACACCGAATGAGAATTCAGCATGGACGGTTATTCCTAATGAAGCCACTTCACACCTGGGAGGTTTTTCCTTCCTCTCTAAGTGCAACTGCAGCAGGAAATATATCAACATTAAGGAGTTACCACTCTTCTACATAAAGAACACTGCAATACTGGTTTGAGTCTAATACTAAGCCATGTACTAGAAACACGATCATATGGAACAACAAAGATATTAAAATTGATAATATTACGATCTTCTTTCGAACACGGCTTAGTAGAGGAGTTTCCACTAGAGAAAACCTTCTCGATCCTAATCTTGATCTTGATTTCCTTACTTATGAAGAATTTAAAACCCGTTACAAGATAAAAACACACTTTTTGACTTATTACAGAGAAATAAACGATATGCCAAATGAATATAAAAAATCTATTAAACAAATAAATGCACAACAACAGCAACCTACACAGCAACGTCAGAGCTTGAAAGCACTAACAACCAAGGCTATACCCGAGAGTTTTTTTAATTACATATTTGAGGAACCTAGAGCCACTCAATGCCGTATTGACAATGGGTTACCACCGGACCACATACACAGCTACTTTAACTTTGCTTTTTTTTGCACCAAAGAAACAAAGCTAATAATGTTCCAATACAAGATTTTTACATGACATAGGTTTTACTGAGTAAATATTGTTGAGAGCTAATCTCGCCAACAGTGATCTCTGCTATCAATGCTTGGGAACAAAACAAGATCTGGAGCACATGCTAATCTCGTGTCAGTTCGTCTCAGAGTTCTGGGAAGCTTTCCTGGACTGGTACAAGTCTCACGTATCAATAGGGCTAGAACTATCAACCAGCAATCGACAAAGTAATGAACACAAAAATTAAACAGTACAGTACATTGTCTAAAATGTTCGTCCTCCTTTTAAGTGTATTTGGAGATCATTATGTAAAGACCAATGTAAAGACCTGCAATTTCTTTAACTTTTGTTTCTTTTTGGAAAACCATCTTTCTTTAGTTCTGACAATTAATTTAATGCTGTTGTCTTTCATTCCGACAACTTCCACCTGTACATTTCTGCCCTAAAGAGAATCTGACTCATGTTTCTTTGCTTTGGCCGCCACACTGCAAGAAGTCACTACTGCTTTTTCTTTCTAGCTTTCTCTATTGGGAAAACTCTCGCACCCCTTCCTTTTAACACTGTAGAGTTCTATTATTTCCTTTACCAATTATCCTGCTGAGTGCTTCCATTTCATCATTAGTGACCAGACAGCTCAGCCAAAGAAATAACGAAAACCTGCAGTTTAACAAGACAATTAAACCTTTCCTCTTAAGAACTTTATTTTTCCTGCAATCACCTCAACGTAGCACAAGAGTTAAAATCTAATTTCTTTGATATTATCTTCGAGACAAATAGTACCTTATCCAAACAGTCCGCATCTGGAGAACAACAAGAGTGGACCCTTCCTTTTTGGTTTGGTAGCAAACCCAAGACAGATAAAGTATTGCTGTGCGCCTTTCACCTGTCAATGAAAAAAGAAAACCAGTCCAATCCTTGAAGAGAATGTGACCTCCACAGCAGTGAAACACAAGGAGATAAGTGGCGTGTATTTGGTTTTTGTTCGAGTAAAGTTCCTAATCATACCACAAGTAACTCTGCCTTGGGCGTTGCCCTTAAAATAATACTTTCTTTTTGGAAAAAGGCCCAATTCTGTCTTTCTTGATCATTTTGTGCATGTGCATGTGATAGACCCTTTGCACAACAATGTCACATGACCTTGTTAATCATTAAAGATGGCTGAGGTCAAATTCGGTACCAGGATGGAAACTGCCAATTTTAAAGCAAAGGACATCTGAGTGAGAGATTTAAGAATGGTTTGAAAACTTAATGTATGTATATAACGTATGTACCTAAGCAGATGTACATAAAGAGATATAAACAAACCCAGAACATATGAAGTCTTACTTCACACATAACTGTAGTGTCGGGAATTACCTCTTCATTACGCATTTCATAACTGGTAGTAGGTTGTTAGGTGTTATAAAGATTTAGATAGTGCGTATTTAAAAAGTGGGAATTATTCACTAAAGGTTGTTAGTTGTGTAATTGTAACCGGCGCACCCAGTACTTTACATTGGCGATGAGGATGATTTTCAGTTGAGACATTTGGATGGTTTTTAATTGGGACAAATTCAAAGATGCCTTGAACGCGGCACGGTGAATGCAAGCAACAAAGTGGGATCTGGCGGTGTTGATGCGATGTTGCTTTCGGTGGACGTTGGGTCATTAACGGCGTTCGACCCAAAAGGCGATCTGAATGGTATCAGCAACGACGGAAGCGATGGAAACGATCTTTTGCATCGTACCTGACAGGAAAAGGGGTTACAGATGACAAGCAGAAGAGAGCTCTTCTCTTACACGCTGCGGGAGTTGATGCGCAAATCTATTTTACAATGGTCAGCGAAGAAGATATTTTCTCTTTCAACACCACGATGAAGGCGCTTGATGACTATTTTGTTCCAAAGTCAACTGTACCATTTGAAAGGCACTTTTTCAAGCAGATTGCACAAGCTAGTTATGAGACAGTGGACCAATTTGTGTGTAAGCTTCAGCAGGGGGCTGCGAGCTGTGATTTCGGGGTCCTGCAGGATGATTACATTCATCATCAAGTTATTGATAAGTGCTGCTTAAGTCATTTAGGTCTCAAGTTTTTAGGGCAGGAAACTGTTACCCTAGATTGTTTATTGGGCGCAGGAAGCCTTTAGCTGCCATTTGAAAGAAATGGAGGAAAACTTCAGCCAGAGTCACGTGAACGCTGTTGGCAGGAAAAATTTCAGCAGTGTGTGGAAAGCATGAGGATCCAGGAGCAAACGAGGGTGGAGCGAGGAACGCAGGCGTTGTGAGAGGAGGTAAAAGGCTAGGAAGGAAGGGAAGGACATGTTGCAAGAGATAAGAGTTGCCCAGCACGTGATCAAGCTTGTAGGAAGTGCGGGAAAATAGGACATTTCCAGATTACATGTATGCAAAGTCATCAAAATGGAGGGAAGAGGTTCGAGAAGGTAAAGAGTGGCAGTGGCAGAGGAAGTAACAGGAGCAGACGAGATGTAGTCAATGAAGCAAATTCTCTGGGAAGTAAGACGTTCTCAGCCAGAAAAAGTCCTAATTCCACATTCAAACTTGGCCAAACTTGTCGCAATCTGAACTCGGATAATGGTGAGGTTACTCTCAATGTAGGAGAAGTAGACTTGCCTAATGTACTGTTGACTCTGGAACTACGTGTAATTTGATGGGCCAGCAAACCTGGAATTGAAAGCTAATGGAATCCAGTACGAATCACGCCTTGCAGCTAAGATGTTGTTTGCCTATGGTGCTACTGAACCACTGCCGACTCTGGAAACGTGGTTGTCAAGGGTGAAGGGCACACTCTGCTTGGACGAGAGACTGCGGAGACACTCAGTTTATTGCATGTCCTTCCCCTTCCGGGGAA